GGCTACTTGTGGGCGCCCCTTATTGCAGCCGCGGCTGGGTTGCTGTTAAGGAACTTAATTTAAGTTACTATATTAGGGGGAACCATATTAATTACTATATATACCCATTATGGCAACTTAATTTAAGTTCATTAAATCCCTATACTACCCAAGTTTCCATTTCATTTTCCATTTTCTTTTCCATTTGATTCTCCATTATAACCCATTATGGTAACTTCATTTAAGTTCCTTAACAGCAACCTTGAGGATGGTCTGCATCTTCATGGTGATGTCCTCCGGCCTGTGCTGGGCGTATGTGTTAGGCGAGGTTTGCGCCATCGTTGCGGATTTTAATGCAGAGAGCCAGATCTTCCGGAAGAAAATGCATCATTTGAACAGGACACAGGGTTTTAGGGTTTAGGGTTCAGGGTTTAGGCCCTAAACCCTAAACCCCTAAACCCTAAGCCAGATCTTGCGAAAGCAAGTGCATCACTTTGAACAGGCCCCCTTGCAAGCTCTTGAGCCTGAGCGCGTTGCATGGTCCACTCATGTTTGAGCCCTACTTACTCATTTCCCAAAATAGGGGAACCCCAACATAGATACCAATATACGCTACTCCTTGTAATAGGGACCCCCAAAAAGGCACCCCTAGATTTAGGAAACCCTTACTTCCCTTGAGGATGATGGCAGATCAAGAGCTGCCGTTCGACATGCGCAGCCGCTTGCGAAGCTTTTTCCTCTCCAACCGGTTCCTGATGCAGCATCTGCCGCTTGGACGCTACGGTTCACCATGTGCCACAGCAAGTTTGGTGAAGTTTTATCAACGCATTGTAGGGTTTGAGGGTCCATGATGAAGACGTGCTTTCCACTAATTCTTCAGAAGCCCTAAACCCTAAACCCTTAAACCCCTAAACCCTAAACCCTGTTTGGTTAAGGGGATGATTGCAGGACGGCTTCAGGCGGCCAGGTCACCTAGTTCTAATTGCCGCGCACCCGGCCCCCCCCGAAAAAATTAGCACAGCCTAAAGTTCCCCTTGAGTAGATAGAAAATGGCTTTGGGTGTATTATAATAAGATCCCCACATACCCCATATTCTATCTGCTTAAGGGGGACTATACATCTACTTGTAGCAGACTTGGATTCCCTGTCAGGGCAAGTGGCGAGCAGCTGAAAAGCCCAGCTTACGAAGCACCAAGATTTTTTCTCCTGTCCTCACGACTGTGCAGTGTTATTATAATTAGCAGTATTTCTACTAAGACTAATCTTATTACTATTACTATTACTGTTACTATTACTATTACTTTTACTATTGCTGTTACTATTACTATTACTATTACTATTACTATTACTATTACTATTGTTATTACTGCTGCAGCCTTGGGTTTTGCTCTGCAAGGACTCAGCAAGAGCTGCTTCAACAGCTCAGCCCGCAGCTTCAGTCCGAGGCGAGCTTTCAAACAAAATTTCCTAGGGGTTAGTAGGGAATAAGGCAATATAGTATAGGGATTCTATAGGGTTTAGACTTTAGGGTTTAGGATTTAGGGTTTAGGGTTAGTAGGGATAAGGGAATATGTTGGGGTGATTTGGGGATAATGGAAGATAACATGGAAACTACCACGGGGTTAGTTGGGAAAAAAGGGGTGTATACATACATATATATATATACATATACGCACACTCCATTCCCTGACGTGGAGATTTGAAGAACTGCTCAGATGCGCCCTAAACCATAAACCCTGAACGGGGCAGGTCTGCACCGCATTGCACCTGACCTGGATTGGTAAAGTCCACTTCTTCGCGCAGTTCATGCGGCTGGTGGATGCATTGGTGTCTCGGTTTAGGGTTTAGGGTTTACAGTGGTCCAGAATGTGCCTATTGGAACCAGAAACTAACAGAAGCTCTTCATACTGTGCCTTCCTGAGGAGAAGCGCGGCGTTAACTCGGCTCCTTACAGAGCCTGCATTGCGGATATATCGCGTGAGCTTGAATTTGCGGCCTTCGCGCAGAAGCTCGGCTTACTAGCTGATGGCATAGCACCCGGAGTCCCGGAGCGCCCCTGCTTTCCCTTCCCTCGTTCTTCTGCACCCAGGCAAGAAAGCTTCGACAATGTGCAGGTGCTGTACATCCTATCCAAAGGACTTGCCACATCATGTCTGGGGCGGTGTCGGAACAGTTGTTTGCGTTTGCTGTGGGCAAAGAGCACCAGAGAATGATAGCAAGCAGGTGCAATTCTCTCAGCCTATAAAAAAATTGGCCCTGGTCGCGAGCATTGCTCAAAAAAGCGATAGGTCTCCTGTCGATGCAGAATGGCATTCTGCACAGAGGTCCTGTTGACAGCCAGAAGTCTCCATGTACTTGGAGAAAACAGTGACACAGCTTGCTGGTTTTTAGTTGGGAATGAGGGAATACACTATATATCGATTATATATGGATTATATTCCCTTACTCCCTACTAAGAATAGTAAGCAGATTGCATACGTAGTGCGCGGAATGCCAGGCAGCCTGAATGCTTCTCAGGAAGGCAGATGTTCAAGGCCAAGAAAGCTGGCACGAGCACAACTCGCAGGTCTGCTATCTAGGCCGCTCCACCTCCCACTCCACCAAAGAAATACGATGAAGAGTTCATGCTCCACAAAAGCACCTGAAGCAAATTCACGACAAGATAGAAACCATCTACAGGTGGGTAGTTTGCAGTTGACACGTGGGTAGTTTCCATACCACTCCTTTGAGGACTCCGATCAGACCCCCACAGCTTCTAGGAGTGGTATGGAAGGCCTATCGGAGACTACGACTCTCCTGTAAGCTGCCCACCTGTAGTGGGCTTCTAAAAGGCGGGACACAGAAGCAAGCAAACACTCTGCCCCACCCATGGCATCCAAACCAATCCCAAGCCATCCACCCAGCCTTCGACCCTATAAGCTGGCGAAGCAACACTCTCTGAGTAGGGATCCCGGCCATGAAGACAGGAACGAAACTTCTGCGAAAGAGCAGACACGCGGCACGAAGGTCGTTTGTCCGACCACACTGCTCTTGCCCCTCAAAGGTGATTCCGACCCAGTGCTTGGCAGGGGATGGTTGGCCAAATCACCCCACTGGGCAAGGCCAACGCCATCTCTTCGTGATCTCTGACCTAGGAAATTTGTCCAGCTGTTGAGCCTCGGGGCTTTTTTTCACAGACGATATTTGCGGACAGCGTCCGAGACTGGTGCTTGTTTTCCGGACAGCCGTTTTACAGGTCAAAGGCTGCAACTGACTTCTGAAGCTAATTACGCCGGGTGCTGAAGTTTAATGATACCGCGCACTGCTTAACCCATAATCAACACAACAAGCCAGACTGCATTAAGCCCTTGTGTTCTGTTGTGTCACGGCAGTCCAGCTCGAAGCCAGCAAAGTAGCATCATTGAAGGACTGGTTGCGCTGAACAGCCGCGTCCAGAGAGATGGTGCTGTATGGGGCGAAGATTTTGTGCTCTCAGATACGAGCCTGATTCGGCCAGTGGCAGGCGCTGGGCTTTCTGCTTGGCACTGAAAAACTACTCGTCTAAAGTCATGGGTCCTGGGTGTTAACGGCCCGTTTCATGTTCTAAGGGCAACGGCTTTGCAGTGGGCTCTCGCTATTTTGCAGGCTATGCCCTCACCTACATCGAGGTGCTCTACCTCACACGCGAGCGGCCGACCAACACCAATTATTGTCAAGCTGTATACTGGAACGTCCTGAAGACGTTCAAGTTTGTTTGAAGTCCCTGCTCTCTGTATTGAACGTGTGGCGCTGCGTGTGAAGCTTATTAATCTCTCTGTGGAGCAAGAGCGGCCTGTGTGCGCTGTTTCCAATCACTTTTAGGCATCGGAGCTGATTTCTGCGCTAGGGCTCATGTCCAATGTAAACAGGCAGTGGCAGCCGGCTCAGCAAAGGTTCATGGGCGTCATCGAAAGACGAAAGCGCGCCTGCCCCCAACTTGGATACATTGTCAGGCAGGGTATGGTTGCTCCAGATGGTTGCACACATGTGAGACTTCTTGATTTCACCTCTGCAATTGCAACAGCGCTTGGCGGAGCTGCCACTCTGACATGTGCTCCTTTCAAGAGTATGTTGTGAACACCCCAGAAGTGCAGCATCTGCGCAGCTATCACCACGCAAGTTTGGTCTGAAGGCGTTATTGCGTGCGAGTGGCGGTCTTTCGAGGGATCATCGCAGAAGCCAGGAGGCGCGTTCGTCATCAGGTCACTTGGAGGCACTGACAGCCCCACAAAAACTCTAGATTCAAGCGACTATGGATGGGCTTTTTTACGCATCGTGTAATGCAAAAGCAATTCTGGCAATTGTGCTGTTTCTACAGCATCCACAGGATCTTAGCTCATGATGCGGCATGTTTGTGCAGCATCGCTGTATGTGTTGAGCACCGTCCACATTGGGGTACCCAGCTCAAAAGCCTTTACTAGCACTCACACCATCTCACGTAGTGTATGGGCCGGGGTGTGTTGGCTAGCTCAAGGTCATCCGGCAGCCCTCTGCACAACTACAGGGTTGCAAGGATTTTCAAAGACTTGTTATAATGGAAAAATTACCTGGAAACTACCAGACAATATTGGGGAGAGAGAGAGAGATATATATATATAGAGTATATTGGGGATACATATATAGATATATGGAAATATATATATATATGTATATATATATGTATATATATATATGTATACATATTATACATAGTATATTGGGGATATTTATATATATATATATACATATAACAGACTTAGGTGAGAAAACAGCTGTCCGAGAGCGCGGGTGCAAACGCACCTGGCTCCAAGCTGCCAAATCTGCCGGAGGAAAGCCGACCCCAATCGTGGATGCCTCAGAGCCGTGAAGGATTCGGTTTAGGGTTTAGGGT